TGATGACCTACCATTCTTGGCCTGTTGCCGATCACCATTAACATTACTTTTATCAAAAAAGAGTAATGTGATACAATAATAATACTGTAATACTGATTGTAATTAAAAACATCCTGGTCTGAAAGTAGCAAACTCGAATAAAACATAAGTTTTTTAAGGGCACATTTGTAACCCAAATTTCATAATAAACAATCTATGTTGTATGCTGCCCTCAAGTGTCCATTCATTTGGCCCTAAGACCACTTTCTATGCCCGTCTCTATCTTACCAATGCACAATCGGCCATTGAGAACCTTGTGGCGTAGCATGTAAGGCCTTGGACTTTCATTTAGAATGTCGGGGGTTCGAGATCAATGCTCGTCACACTGCTTGTGTCTTTATCTGCATTTGCCTCTTTTCATCCAGGAGTATAAATGCTTACCTCGCTTGGAGGTGAATGATTCGGAATGAAATTATAGTGCTGATTACATGCGTAACTAGGAATACTTCCCAAAACGCGGAGTAAGTGGCATGTTGTGTATAATTGATTTTGAATCCAGTGACCAGCAGAAAAAGGGCTGTATTTCTAGTAAAAGAGTGCTATACAAATGCTAAAATTAATTAATTAGAAGGTTTGCTAATAATTTGGTGAATAAAGAAAAAGTAGTAAAAAAAATTTGAAGACTGATTGTGAGATTTTTTGGTTGTTTTTTTTTTTTTTTTCAGTGCATCCTCAAATGGTAACAGTGTTCATAGATGGATATTTCAACGAACCATTAGAAGTAGTGAGGTTGTTTGGCGTGCAAGGAATTCAGCACACCCCCATTGGTGTCAAGAATGCTCGTATATCACAGCATTACAAAGCAAGTTTAACAGCAACATTTAATATGTATCCGGTAGGTATCGATGTTCTAAAAACCATTAATCTTTCTTCACCCAACCTTTTTTCTCCCATCCTTAGGATTTCTAATACTAAAATTTATAATTTAAATGTGTTGTTAACTTTAAATTTACATATATTTCCTATATTTTTATGTTTGCGCTATACAAGTGCACAACCATTGACCATGTTAATGTACGGTATGTATGAGCAGCTGGCCGAGAAGTATGGTTCCTGCTGCTTGTGTTGTAGACCCCAGTTCAAACCCGGCCAGCATCAAGTTTTAGTTAGTAGTTTTTTTTGTGATCGTTCAGCTCCTTTAACAACCCTCATATTGTGAGTTAGGCAGTCTAAGGACTGGTGGCGCTGCACTGTGGCTGTCGCTGGTCCCCAGGGGCCCAGCCCAAATTCCCGATTTCCAATTTGAATGAGGACGAATAAAGAATTATTATTATTATTATTATTATTATTATTATTATTATTATTATTATTATTATTATTATTATTATTTTTATTTTATATATTTTTATACATTATTGATTAATGTTGATTCACATTTATTTTTATTTTTGCTAAATTATTTCTACAGTATACATATTTATTTATGTTTTTAAAAATTTGTTTATGTTTACATATATTTTTTGAACCATCATATCTTTCAATGGCATTATAGTGTACAAGTTTAATACATACACTGTTGAAATGTAATACTACCTTTTACTTTCTGACATTATGTTCTTCCATTATATTATTAATGTTTCAAATTTGATTAATTTATCACATTAGTGTTGCATTCATTGGCGTCTTTTGTTGGTTCTGCCTCCATAATCCCCATCAAATGTACGTTCATCACTCCAATTACTGATAAAATTTTATCCTCACTCGCTCTTTAAGACCATTTCATCAAGGCCCGCGACAAGTATTAACCCAACAAATGCATCGCGAACCTGAGTATAGTTCCCCCGAGTCGAATGTAAAACCAGGCTGTTATACTATCACATATCACTAGATTCTAATTCACGTAAATATTTCAATAAGAATCGCACATAGCTCCTATGCCATAATGTTTCTCACATGCTTCTCAATTACATGAAAGTCCGCTAAATAAACCAAACATACTCAAAACACTCAATGTTGCTATTATTAAAGAGCATTGAAAATCTGGCAATTAGTCTTGTGTACGTCCGTAGCTAGGTGAGGCGAAGTAATGATGCAGAGCAAACATGCAGAAAGCATTAATGGGTTTAAGGAAACCATTAACGTTCAATTAGTTATTGATTCAACCGGTTTGCCTCCCAAAAAAAAAAACAACTTTGATGTTAAGATAACAAGTAAATTTGTTATTAAATTTATCTCTACAATATTTCAGGAAAACGGGAGGTGAAGAGAGGTGGGG